CAGAGTTACTTTGGCGATAGCCATACTTCCTCATAGTTGAACTAAGTCGGCCAAACCATGCTCGCAGTGACTGTTTTAGTCCATACAATGCCCTCTCCAATTTACAGACAATTTTGTTCCCAGTCGATCCTGTATAACCTGGTGGAATATCCATGTATACCTTTTCGTCAAGGTTGCCGTGAAGGAAAACATTCTTCACATCGAGTTGATGTAGTGGCCAGTCCAAATTTACTGCAAGAGATAGTAAGACTTTAACGATATTCAGTTTAGCTACTGGTGAGAAGGTTTCTGAGTAGTATATGCCATATGTTTGGGTAAAACCCTTCGCCACAAGTCTCGCCTTGTATCGGTCAATTGATCCATCAGCCTTGTATTTTATAGAGAACACCCATTTGCATCCCACTAGTTTTTTTCCTTCCGGTAATGGGACCAACTTCCAGGTATTATTTTTCTTTAAGGCTTCTAGTTCTTCTTGCATTGCTTGCGCCCACTCTGGATCATATTACGCCTCTTCAACACTACTGGGAATATGACAGGAGGATAATGTTTGAGTGAAAGTCTTGAGCGGCATGGACAGACCTTGAGTAGATACATAATTTGCAATTGGGTACTTGGACTTCCTTCCTTCTTCATCTGGGCTGTATCTGTTCGGTGGTTTCCCACGATTGTGTCTAAAAGGCAACACATAACCAGTAGAGGAATCCAAAATATTAGCATGTAAAGGTGCAGCAAGAGTACTTACCTCAGGGACATTCTCAGGAGGAGGAGGATCTTCGGGTACTGAGGAGTGAGGGAACTGAGGGTACTCAGTATTTTCTGTTTCTTCATTTGCAGGTTCTTCGGCTTCTTCATTCCTCGAATTGACATATTCAATCTCTGGTGGTCCCTCATGCGGTTCAACCTCTCTATTTCCAGTTCCAAGCTCTCCCACGAGGGCCATCCACCAATTCGTCTCTTCTACTTGAGTCTCCCCTTGAAGGGAAGAATTGGGTACCGGTGAAGGATAGAAATTCTCGGACTCAAGAAATGTAACATCCATGGTGATATAGGTTCGGTTGGTAGTGGGGTCATAGCACAAAAAGCCTTTTTTATGTAAACCAAATCCCAAATATAAGCACCGAACGACACATGGGTCCAGTTTGGTACGTTGATTCTTATGGAGGTGGACAAAAGCAACACACCCAAAAATTCTAGGAGGAAGCATCAATATTGAAGGAAGGATATATGAGTAGAGAGGATTTGTAAGAGAGTTTTAAAGTGTAAAATTTTAGATGGCATACGGTTGATTAAGTACATAGCAGTAGCCACAACATCCCCCCAACGGCAACTCGGCACCAATGCTCCAAGGAGTAGGGTACGAGCTGTTTCCAAAATATGCCGATTTTTCCTCTCGGCGACACCATTTTGTTGTGGTGTTTGAGAGCATGAGGTCTCATGGAGGAGGCCATGTTGTTGGAAATAGGCCTGAAATCTTTGGTTGATGAATTCGCCACCATTATCGGAACGAAGAATTTTTATCATGGAAGAGAATTGAGTCTGAACCATGGCATGAAATGCTTGAAAAATGGTGAAAACTTTGTCTTTGGTTTTTAGTGGATAGAGCCATGTCATTCGAGTACAATCGTCGACAAAAATTACAAACCAACGGTGACCAGAGGAAGTAGGTATCGGGGATGGTCCCCACACATCAGAGTCTATCAATGCAAATGGAGTATTAGTTTTATTCAAGCTAACTGGATAAGAAACTCATTGGCTTTTAGCCTTGATACATATATCACATTGAAAGTTCACATTCTGCAAACGGGAAAATAAAGATGGGAATAGATGCCGGAGATAGCCAAATGATGGGTGCCCCAAGCGCCTATGCCACAGTCAAATCTGCCGTTCATGGCTACGAGTTTGATGGTGCGTGTGATTTGCTTTGCCTGGGCTGAAGTTACCAAGGTAGTACAGTCCCCCCCTCTTAGTACCACGCCTAATAATCTCCTTGCTGAGAACATCCTGAAGAAGACAAAAAGTAGAGTATATCAACACAACACAATTAAGCCCTTCAGTAACTTGACTTACAAACATCAACTTGTTGGAGAGAGATGGAACAAGAAGTGTGTGAGCTAGAGAGAGAGAGGAAGACAGGGGCACGGTTCCAGCCCCTGTGACTGGGTAAATGGCCCCATTGGCATTAGTAATGCAAGTCCTCCGTGGTTGAGTTGTGTTGGAGAAGTCATTTGGATCAAATGTCATATGATCCGTCGCTCCACAGTCGATAATCCAGGCACCATCATTCCGAGTAGTAGAGCTGCAAAAAAATTGACCACAATTACCTTGATCTGGGGTGGAGGTAGAAAGTTCAACCACAGGAATAAGAGAGAGTTGAGATTCAGCCGTGGCCACCGCTGCTCGACCTGGGACGTCTTCAGTTGTAGGAGCATCTCATTTCTTTCGAGCTTGTAATTAATGCCACCAGTCTGGGTAGCCATGTAATTTGAAACAGGTTTCCCGAGTATGTTTTGTACTCCCACAGTGAGTGCACTTATTCCCATCAGAATGACCTTTGAATCGTGAGGAGGGCCTAGACTTTTGTGACTGGCCAGATTTCACACCTTTGATGGCCATAACAGCACCACTAGCCACTGCTTCTGCTCCCGATATCATTACAGATTGTCGGAGATCTTCTCTTCGAACGTGAGCATATGCCTGCTCAATTGAAGGGAAAGGTTGTAGGTGAAGAACATTAATCCGAACATGTTCCAATCGATTATCTAGTCCATCAAGAAAAGTGTATACACGCTCCTCCTGTAAAATGGAGTTGTAGCTTTGTATGTCAATTGCACATTTCATTGGATTCGGTCGACGAAAATCGATCTCTCACCACAAACCCTGTAGATCGTTATAGTATTTTTCTATAAACCTGCCTTATTATTTCATTCAAGATACACGACGTTTGAACTCGTATACCTACGAGTTGTCAGTTCCATTGAAGTATGTTGTGCAGCAGAATCCCATACCTGCTTAGCCGTTGGGTAGCGAATAAAGTTCACAACCAAGGAATGGTCCATGGAGTTGATCAACCAACCTTTCACCATGGCATTCTCAGTGCGCCACTTATGAAATGAGGGGTTGGTTTCTAGTGGTTGGGGGTGGTCTCCATTGATGTATGCCAGTTTTTCTTTTCCTAAGATGTACATCTCAACAACCTGGGTCCCTAATCCATTGTTGGAACCATCCAACTTGATGCTGATTGGAACCATCGGGGAATCAGTGATAAGAGAAGAAGAGGTCTGGACCCTTGACAAAACCTCCATCATTTTTTATGTTAGATTTTCGAGGATGTTTTTGGTGGAGTCAGCCATGACAGCCGAGCAAAAATCTTGATCCCTGCCTGATCAAAAAATAGGGAACCCAAGATCATGCTCTGATACCATGTCAAATGTAACTTTTCTTCATATCAATTCCATAAAACTGAGTACAAGATATAGAGATACAAGAACCTATTTTAGGAAGCTATTCTATGTCTGTACAGTATTTACGGCTACAATCATGTTGGACCCTTGAATGAAGGGATTCCTAAATCTAAGATGTCCATAGCTGGCTAATTGCAGGACTCACGCCAACAAATTTCAACAACTCTCATTTTTTACATTTGTTTTTAGTTACTTGGCCTGTAGTAGGTACCTGGTTCATTACTTTAGGTATCAGTACTATGCTTTCAACCTAAATGGTTTCAATTTCAACCAATCTATAGTTGGTAGAATAATTTTCTCCTTTGAGAATAATCAAAAGAAAAATGGAAAATATTCAATTGGAATATGAAAACGTGACCAAATTATCGATGCCCTTATGAGAGCAATGCCCTAGGTATTCCCTTAGATGTCTAAATTGTTTTCCTATTTTCATTTTTTTTATAGACATTTAGTGAAATCTTCTAATTTTCCTTATTTTCAATACTGAGTATAAGAAGAAATAAAGAGGAGAGTTTCTGAATGGTTTGTCAATATGGAGGATCTCAAGAAGGTGTGGTCTTTCAACGAGACCTTATTCTACCGAGTTACATACCCACTGCTTGGTTATACTCCCATGTACCATTCCTTCATAGTTGTTCTAGATAGGCCCAATGCATGTTTAGCAGAGGACCGAGAAGTGCTTGAAACCCGTAGAGCTTTTACACCAAAGTCCCGCCAAAATTCCATTATCCTTGGCCTAGGCCAAATTGTAAAGAAATTTATTGACCTTTTTTTTTAGTTCTAACATATCCCCAAGTTCTGTTCCAACTGGTCCTACTTCCCAAATTCCATTTGCTAATCAAAATCCTAGTCCTCCTTCTAATCCCATTCGTCCATCTAGGTCGAGACGATATGTATATCGGATAAGGATTTGATCACTTTTCTCATTACCGACCAGTTCAAAGCAACAAATGCCTTAGGCGATAATGCTCCTTCTACAACCATTCCCCTTGATGTCGATATCTCTCCTGAGATAACAAAACAACAAAAACATACTATTAAGAAGAGGAAATTCATGTAGATCAGTGAATCTAATCAAGGCGATTAAGAGATTTCTCCTTTTTGCTCTATCTGGAAGGCCAAGGGCAGAGAGATTACTGTGAAGGACTCGGTTGTGGTCTATGTGAATGTTGCTGTTGGCATTGCCAGGGGAGTGATCATTCCTCTGAATCTGGTTGTCAATGAATCAATGAGTGATGACCAGATTTCCCAAAGTGCTTTTCAGTCGATGGTGCTTGCAAATCTTCTATTTTATTTTGTGGTTTGATGTTTCGTGAATTTTTCTAGGTGTTCTGTTATACGGTCTTCAATGGGCCCACGGACTCAAATTACTTGAAAAGACAAGGCAATGAAAAATGTCATTTATGATCGTATGACTGCTTCGGAGAAGAACGAACAACTAGACGCAGAAGTTTCCAAGCTTTGTGAGGAAATTAATCTTGGTCCTCCAAGCTCAATTGACTGATTTTGAGGAAGAGAGAGATCATTTGAAGTCTGTAGAAACCGAGGCTTCTTGCGAGCTCTTCCAGACCCAAGAAGATCATGCTGCACTTCTTAAAGAGTTTGAAAGTTTCAAGGCTAGTTCTAAAGCCAAAGAAGATTTATCCTACAACGATGGGAGGACAAGGAAGAGGACGAGGAAGAGGAAGAGCTTGCCTAACAAGTTAGCCAGATTGAAAAGATAAACTTTAAAATGGGTTGGGATAAGGATTTAAGGGTTGTCAACGTTCTCCCATCTTTTAGGCTATTCACTTGCCATTCTTTTAGTGCTTCGAGTCAAGCTGCTTAAGCCTTTTTTCTCTTTTGTACTTAAGAAAATATTCTGATCAAAATAAGAAATATTTTTGGTAATTCTTTGTTTTCTTTATTCGCATAAATTCTCTTTTTCTCCAATAGATTGGCTTGGCCCTAATGAAGGGTCTGGTCTTTATACTTATAAAAAGTTCATGCCCCATTTTCCTAACAGGGAAGCTTGGCCTCAATGATTTTTCGGGCCTTTATACTTAGAAAAAGTTTATACCCCCTTCCCCTGGCAAAGAAGCTCGGCCTCAATTAAGAGTTTGGGCATTCATATTGGTCAATTGATATGACTATCACACCGATTTGTTTGGTCTCTAATCTTTACCAATTGGCTTACACCATCGAGCCAAGCCTTGGGCCTAAGTTCTATTGGGTGGTTTTACCTCAGTTAGGTCCCTACCTTTGTTAGGATTTTTCCTCCCTTCCTTGGCAGTAGGTTGTCTTAGTGCCTGAGCGGCATTGAGTCTTTTGCCTAGAACTCTATTCGTGGGTCTTTTTCATTTCCTTTGCCTTGCAAAGGTTCGTACAGGATTTACAAAGGCAATTTATAAAAATGCTTTTTTTAAAAATTGATATAAAAAGCCTTACAACTTTTCAAAAAGACCTAGCTAATTTTGTATGTACTTGAATTCAATTCCTTTCTAGAGGCACTCCAAAACTTTCTGACAGAAGGTACTTCTATGTACTTCTAAAGGTGCTTCAAAAGTAGTACTTTCGTAGGTTTATTGTGTTCCTGGGTCGTGGAAGTGACCTCCCCTCTATGGTTTTGAGTTTTTAAGACCCATTTCCACCTATCGATGTGACCCTGTAAGGTCTTTCCTAGTTGGCCCCGAGTTTTCCTTCTATCAATTTTTTAGCAGTGCCCATGATTTTCCTTAGGACCAAGAATCCCCTTAACAAGACCCTTCTGCTATGAGCTCGAGACTTTTGTTACTCCATTCGTTCTTGTACCAGGTCCAAATCCTTAGTGATGGAATCTTCATTTTTTGAACTATTTGCCAATTCTGACCTAAGTGTAGGGAGGCCGATCTCTAGAGGTATGATTGCCTCCATCTCGTATGCTAATTTTTATGGAGTTTCCCCCGTTGCCCATCATGATTTGGTTCAGTACGCCCAGAACACGCTAGGCAACTCTTCCACCTATTTTTCTTTACCTTTCTCTAGCCTTTTTTTTTTAATTCCATCCAAGATTGGTTTGTTTGATATCTCTGCTTGCCTATTATTTTTGTGGGTAAGTAGGTGAGGAGTAATGGTTCAGATCCCGTAATGTTGGCAAAATGCTTTGAATGATTCACTGTTGTACTGGGTGCCATTATTAAAGATTAAGTCTTTAGGAATGCCAAACCTTTTATTAATGTCACTCCACGTGAAGCTCTTTGTATCAGAGTTTCTTCTATTCGCAAAGGGTTCGATTTCTACCTATTCTGTAAAATAGTTAGTTCCTAAAAGAAGGTATTTCTTGTTTCCATGTGCTTTAGGCATTAGCCAATGGTGTCTAGCCCCATTGTGCAAAGGGCCTTGTCCTTGTTAGAGGGCTCAAGTATTATGCTGCTGTCTCAAGATGGTTGAGAAATTTTGACGCTTATCGCATTGCTTCACATGTCATTGTGCAACCCTCTACATATAGGGCCACCAATAGCCTTGTGACAGAGCTCGGTGCGCCAGAGATTTGCCTCCCAAGTGTTCACCACGGATTTCCTCATGAATTTTTAATTAAAAATCTCGAACCTTGATTGGGTGTACGTAGACTAAATACAAACTTGTGAAAGATTGTCGATACAACTTATCTTTTGTTGATAACCAAAACGTAGATGCTTTCAACCTTAGCTTATGGGCTTCCTTTTTATACTCAAGGAGTTGCCCATTGTTAAGGAAGTTGTTGATCGGGTCCATGTAGCTAGAGCCTAGTTCGGCCGATCACATCTCTGAAACTTTTATTAGCTCGGTGCTCAATTTTTTCTTGCCACTCTAACAGTATTGTTCTTCTTGAATTTTCTTTGAGAGCTGAAGCTAGGGCTGCTAGAGCATCAATGTGTGCATTTTTAGCCCTTGCCACTTGTTGGACTAAAACCCTTGGGGCTCTTAATTAGCTTGACAATGGATATCTTATGGTATGCCATCATCTACTCATCTTTTCACTAGGTATTCCCCCGACAGTTGGTTTATGACAAGCTGCGAATCCGAGTAGATGTGTAATTGCTTAGCACCCATGTGAATTTCGAGCCTTACACCAGCTGGAAGAGCCTCGTATTTTGCATCATTGTTTGAGATGTGGAAGTCTAGTCTAACTGCCTTCTCTAGCACATCTCCTTCCGAAGATTCCAAAATTTTACCACTCCATCTCTGTTTTAGTTTGATCTGTAGTTCACGTATAGCTTCAAGGAATCTTTAAACTCTAAGCTTTTCCTAGTCTTTTGAAGTTCGGGTGTCTAATCATTTGTAGGGAAGAATTCTACAAAGAATTCGAGCACCACTTTCCCTTTAATTACAGTTCATGGCTCGAAGGTAACGTCATATTCCTCAATCTATACTATCCATTTTGATAATTTGCTAAAATTAATTAACAAATTAATGTCTATAATTGAGCTCAAATCCATCAGATAAATGAAATTGGGTTGAACCTGAATTTCATAAGCACAAATGATATAGTTCTAAATTTAATTAAGGGTTTTTTGGCTGCAGGTACAATTTTTTAGACTTATTTGAGGAAAAATTTATAGATAAGTTGTTTACTTTATTAAGTTCAATTTTAATAAAACGTATTGCGTTTAGGTACAAAATTCAAATGAAATCAAATTCTTTTTACCTAAATACCCTTAAATTATGCATTCTTGGTTGACAATTATATATGTGTAAAGATTTTATTAGACTCTCCATCTCTCTCTCCCCTATTTTCTCTCTATCTCTCTCTCTCCCTCCTATTTTCTCTCTCTATCTATCATTGATAATTTATTTTCTTTTTAAATATGTAAAAAGTTGATTTATTTTTTCGTATCTCTCCCCTATTTTCTCCAACCATTTCTCTCTCTCTCTCTCTCTCTCTCCTATTTACATCAACATTACAACAATACAATTACACTAATTAGTTACACTAATCAATTACAATTGTCATATAATACACAAAACAGTTACTTATGTATTTTAATAAACCAAACAGTTACACCAAATAATTACACAAAATTATAACACCAATTCAATTTGTCATCCAGTTGTTTACATAAACTAAATAGTTATACCATTTAGTATCACAACATCGTGATACCAATTTTATATATTAAATTTATTATAATTGTAAAATCTTTTGTGTAGTGATAAACCTAATTTAGTGTATATAATTGGTGTAATTATGTCGTGATACTAAATCGTGTAACATTTTAATTTATGTAAATAACTGAATGACAAATTGAGTTGGTGTTGTAATTTTGTACAATTGTTTTGTGTAACTATTTGATTTATTAGAACACATAAGTAACTGTTTAATATATTATAGGGTAATTGTAACTAATTGGTGTAACTGATTAATGAAGGAAATAAGGGGAGATGGAATGAGAGAGAGAAAAAAAATAGGGGAGAGAGAGATAAAAAAATTAAATCAAATATTTACATATTTAAAAAAAATAAATTATCAATGTGAGAGAATGATAGAGAGAAAATAGGGGAGAGAGAGTGAGAGAATAATTGAGAGATAGAAAGAGAGAGAAAGAGTAATGGATTAACAAATGACATTTTAGTCTTTTTTCAAAAAAATGAACTTAGGGCCAAATAAGTTTCCTTAATGTAGTTTAACTCAAATAAGTCTAAATTTTTGTATCGGCTTCCAAATTACCCTTTAATTAAATAGGCTTGAGTTGGACTTACATTTCACAACCCAAATAATACATGCCCAAACATAATTAACTATCTTGTGAAATTAAAATGGACTTAAATTTCATGAGCCCAAATTAAGCAAACTTTCAAAGGTAAAATGGGTTGGACTTAAATTCTATAAACTAAAACCTACAAATTTATGAGTAGTCCATTATCTAAAGCCCATATAAGGGTAATCAGGTAAAAGTATTCTTATACGGATAACTAACACTCTTATATGGATAACTACTCCTAGCACTATAAATAGAGGTTTAGGGGGGAGGTCCAAGAGGGGGGGGGGGGAAGGGAGAAGAAGTCAAGGAGGAAGGAAGATTGACGAAGCTTTGCTTGAAGTCCACTAAAGTCTTGCAAGTTCATCTCCAGGAAGAAGAACACATCGCCAAGGTCCTTCTTCAAGAAATCCAAATCATCTTTAAGCCACTCAAAATGAAGAACGGTGAGGAAATTCATCAAAAGCATCATCAAATTGAATAACGGGAGATACATTGATCCAGCACTCATAGTCATCAAATCCACCACCAATTAGAGAGCGAGAAATATGCCAATGAGGCCCTCATCTTCGCGAAATTCATCAAATTCCTTATCATCATCAAATCCACTGAGAATTAGAGGAAAGTGCAAGTGAGAAGTAAGCCAAAAAGAGTCAACGCTACATCTTTTACTTAAAGTCAATCAAATTGACTATTGTAACTTAACCTTATTTTGAGTTAATTTATACACGAAATTTGTCACAAATTTTGGCACGCCCAGTAGGACCCTCTCTTCCTTTCATCTCTCAAGTCAAAAATCCAACAAGCCTAATAACAATGACAACAAAAGACATCGTGATTCCTCCCACTGACAAGTTAGCAGACCTGGTTGAGGAGTCAATTCCAACAACCTGTGCTAAAACAAAGGCGGGCAAATCTCAACTTTTGTCATCGATGGAGCATCGATCTAGGCGAAGCAAAAGGAAGGCTCTTCCAACCAAAAAGAGACAGCCTGCCCATTATTCTATTGATTTGGAGGAAGAAACAGA